ACGATACTTTTTAAAAACTCTCTGCAGCCTCTCCCCAGTAAGATCAAAGCTTTATTAGAATTTAAATTCCCCAAAACCAAGAAACTCATGTGTAGCTTTCTTGGTTCTGTAAATTTTTATGCACGGTTTATCCCGAATCTTGCTGATCTTACAGGCATCTTATCGGACTTCCTTAAAAAGTCTGTGAAGGAACCTCTTGAACTTTCCGACGTAGCTCGGGAAAAGTTTAATGAGATTAAAAGTATCTTTGCGAAAGACCCTATACTTAAGATTCCAGATATTAAAAAAACATTTTGTCTGAGAACTGATGCCTCCAATACTAGCTTAGGTGCGGTGTTACTACAATACCATGATGGTACTCCCTTCCCTGTATGCTTCCTAAGCCAGAAACTCCTTCCCGCAGAAACAAGATACTCCACAATAGAAAAGGAATGTTTAGCCCTTGTGTGGGGTATCTCCAAACTTAAATTTTATTTGTTGGGAAAAGAATTCATTTTAGAAACGGACCACAAACCTTTGATATACCTAGAAACTTTTAAGGGAACCAACAGTCGCCTCTTGAGGTGGACATTGGCACTCCAGGCTTTTAAGTTCCATATTGTGTATATCAATGGTTCATCCAATTATTTCTCTGACTGGTTAAGTCGTGACAGTCAGTAGAAGATTTGTTGCCTTACACGACTTCCACATGTTAGAACTTTTTCCTCGCCTATTCTTCTTATACTCCTTGACTATAAGTCTTGGCATGGGGGAGTGTGAGGGAAAAGTTCAATAGATAGGTATAGAGGGAATATATATAGTATCAGTAGTTTCACTGCCGGCTTCTAGTTAAGGTAGGGTAAGTCAATCTCCCGTTTTTCCCGCCTTTTCTCCCCCTCCCTGAAATTGATAGTTTGTCTGCCGGCTACTAGTTAAGGTAGGGTAAGTCACGCTCCCGTTTTTCCCGCCTTTTCTCCCCCTCCCTGCAATTGATAGTTTGTCTGCCGGCTACTTGTTAATACCCTTTACCGGGCCGTGCCTCATTATTTGAGCAAATGCAACAATTGCAACCTATATTGTGACAATATATGTAATTCTAAGACATATTTATTTGTGATCATTTTTTGAGATTATTTTTTTTTGGGGCCCATAAAATGCCCTTTTTGGCCGTATCAAATATGAGGCACTCCCCGACAATGGTTTAAACTGTAGGTGCAGATCAGGCATCAAATTTGATGCAAGCCTGACAAAGGTTTTGTCTAAAAGAATCATAACAGCTGTTATAACTGATAATTAAAGGCATAAATTTACTTTTAAGGTTTATTCATAAACAACTTGGGTAAACAAAAGGCACAGAAACTTGATTTCAATAAATTTAAGACATTTTTAGTAATTGACATTTTATAAAAAAATTGAAAAAATGTTACAAAAATATTATCAGAGGAATTTAAGCATGTTGTTGCCTATGGAATTCCAGGAAACAATTCCTCATTGAATTTAGGGCATAAATTAACCTTGCAGAAGGAACAAGCAAAGGAAGAGTAGGTCCTCTTGTTCTTGGTGTTGCAATGTTACATGAAAGCCTCTTTGCAGTTAACTGGCCAGTGTTTTTGTGTTTCATCAAATATTGTATCATTAGACCTTTTTCTATGCCGATTGGGAATGTCATCAACTGAAGAAGACCTTGAAGAAGACCGTGAAGTTGAACAACTTGGAGATCTCAGGCTCCCTTAGGATTCCATTGGTTGACTTTCTTGCAGAATTGGAGATGGAAAACCGAAATTCCTTGAGGTTCATGTATTTCTCTTTCAAAACACCACATTCACGCCTGTACAACAACCAGCCATTGACACAACAAAGATCAATGACATATCCAAAGAGCCTCATGTACCAGCTTTTGCTTTGAGTGGAGACTTGTAGAGATGCACCAACATATCATTCTTATCTATGCCCCCATATGGGCATTATAATACTTTATCACTGCAGACAGTCAACTTCCACCTTTTGTTTGAGCTCCTTGCTGTACCTCTTTATCTTTGTCACTGGGTTGATACCAATATCATTAGTCAGTAAAGTAACAACCTTACTGTCTTTCCAACGTACAGCAAGGACACTATCCAATGAACAGTAATCCATAGCACTCCTTTTCACCTTTGTTTTTTCCATGTCATTGACAGACATAAGTGGTGGTTTTCTAATTCTGCTGTCCCTTGCAGTGCCTGTGTACCTGCAATTGAATGTAGCATGCAGATATTTCACTAGAGGCAAACTGGTAAAGAAGTTATCTGCATAAATTGCACTGGTCTTTGTGTGGTCCATAGTCTTTGCAAGGCAAATAACAACCTTGGAACTTTAGGCATTTTCTTCTCCTCCTCTGTTAGACTAACACTGTGATAATCAAATGTTGTTTGACCTTGATACATCATTATGTCATGTATAAATCCATCATCGCTGGCCCGGCAAAAAAGTTTAAACCCCCATTTATTAGGCTTGGTCCTGATATATTGCCTGAGATTTCCTGCTCTTGTTCCCTTATATCCTACCATTACCTCATCAACTGATTGCTTTGGTGTACCTGGAACTGTTAGGCATGCTTTTCTTAGACCTTCAAACAGTGGTCTTACTTTATGGAACCTGTCAGCTGTTGCCTTGGTATTATCATTTATATGAATAGCTGTCCTTAGTGACCTAAACCTTTTAGATGTCATAACAGTTGTAATATCAGGATGACAATGATTATGGGACCAATAATCTTCTAAAGAGGGCAGGGTGTCCATACTCATGAATATCAGATTCCAACAAATTGCATAAGCTCTTCACTAGTGGTGTTGAAGTTAGTATTAACATCTTTCTGTGTTGCATACAAGTTTGTGTTAAATACAAGGCTTTCTAACATTTCTGCAGTAAATAATTGACAAAAATATTGAAATGGTTCCTTGATATGTGTTGGTACCTCATGTTTGTAGTCAGGTAATGGAGTATTTGTTATGTCAAGTTTGCTCCAGGTGGCATTAGTGTTGTTGACAGTTGTTTCATCTACCTCAACCTCATCATCTTTAACTGCTTGTTTTCGTACATTTCTTCGTTTTACATTAACTTGCCACTTCTCTTAGACAAATTTTCATGTTCATCTTCACTTGAAGAAGCATCATTTGCCTGTGGCTCATAATCATCTCCAGAATCCACTTCCTCATTAGGGTCACTGTCATCATGTAACTCTGGCACGATGTAATCCTTCTTCTTTGAGCCCTTGATCCATAAAACACATTTGTGTTCAACTGAAATGAACAGAAAACACAAAATGAGCATTCCATATGAGCAAATTTCATAAATTTACAAGGTAAAATTACTCATATATCAATGAATTTGATTCAGCATGCAATTGTTAGCTATCAGTGACAAAGACGGTCTAATTATGATCTGTTAATCCATGATATATGATACCTTCATTGGCCCATTTCTTATCACCATTGTCAGGCTGAGCCTCAATATTGATACAAAAAACAGTAAGTGATAATCTACCATTGTCAGGCCGGGCCTCAGTATTGATACCAAAAAGGTAAACAAACTTCAAGTGCATTTATTTGTTACTTCCAATGCCTCAGGCAATTCATTTACATCTCAAAATGAAGTTCAAACATTCAATAATGCACTGGAACACATTCAGAAACTTACCGACATTCTGGAGTGGTGTTAAATTGGTGAAATAGCAGGATGAGTGAGGGTCAAAATGCTCCTCCTTCAACAAGTCAAGCAGTACTGAACACTCGAGGAGCTCCCAGCCAATAGCAGAGGACAGTACCCGAGTGACGCCACCTTCAAGCTCCGCCCAGAAGGTGTGTGATTGGCTGGATTGAGGCGAGAAGTCTCTGGGAGCATATGCTTTGTGTCTATGGGCGCCATGAAAAACCATGCTTTTGGTGCCTCATATTGAGGCACCGCCGGTAAAGGGTAAAGACGAACCACTGGCCTCCACGTGCAAGGTCTGGTAACTCAGAGATACTCTGAGGCTGACAGTGGTCGCAAATTATAATGTTATTATAATTCAAGATTTGCTAATTAGGATTCAAAAGCGTCTACCAGGGTGGTATTATTTCCAATCCAGCCACTCTCATAGGAGCCACGGTAGTGTTCTTATTTTGTTCATTCACCGGAGTTAACATTAATAAAAATAACATTAATAAAAATATTGTTCTTATTTTTGATTAACACAACAGAGATAACATTGCAACGTTGAGCGATGTGAAGATGACAGGTCTCCTGGGTACACATGTCTGGTACTCTAACATAACATAGGTCATCTGGAAAAGACCCAGGCCTGGACAATACCGTGGGTGTTGCTGGAGTGAGACCCAACAATTAGGTGTCTTCAATCAAAAACGTTTCGCCTACACAGTAGGCTTCTTCAGTTTAATATAGAGGCAGCAGCAGAGGCAGAGAATGTAAGGCTGATGTAATTATAATCATGCGTGATCCCAGAAAGGTATCCCCGTGATCCCAGAAAGGTATCCCCGTGATCCCAGAAAGGTATCCCCGTGATCCCAGAAAGGTATCCCCGTGATCCCAGAAAGGTATCCCCGTGATCCCAGAAAGGTATCCCCGTGATCCCAGAAAGGTATCCCCGTGATCCCAGAAAGGTATCCCCGTGATCCCAGAAAGGTATCCCCGTACTGCATAAACCTTATCGTTCATCTCTGTTGCTGTACATTTTTTCTTTGCTACTGTACTGCATTTCTGTACTGCACTCTACCGTTCTTTTGTTTTAATTTTCTGTACTGGTCGTCTCTGTTACTGTACTCATTCTTCTGTGTTACTGTACTGGTCTTCTCTGTTACTGTACTGGTCTTCTGTTACTGTACTGGTCTTCTCTGTTACTGTACTGGTCTTCTCTGTTACTGTACTGGTCTTCTCTGTTACTGAACTATATTTGTTCTTCTGTGTGTCTGTACTGGTCTTCTGTGCTACCAGTGTCAGGGGAACGCCTTCCTATCGAACAAAAGAAAGGAAAAATAACAAATGAATAACTTGATGGATAATAATTATGTTTTTCTAAGGATTTTAATTAAAAATAAATAAAATAAATATTGGCCGCTGTGGTTCCAGTAGGATGTTGGGACATGAGAATCTTATGCCCAGGATGGTCTTCTGATGATGTTTTAGAAGAAATGGTGTTGGTTATCCTGGGTGGCGGTGTTCGTCCCATGTTCTGAAAATCCTGTCACTACTTGGTTGTATCACCACAATTCAGATTTTAGAGGTGAGGAGTCGTAATGTCCCACTACGTCCTGTAGACAGGGATCTTGCTCCAATTAACTAGCGTCTACCCTGGTTGACCAGGTCAGCAGCAGAGCTGATAATAAAGAAAACACTGGTTATATAAGTGTTAAATAAGTATGACAATGAAGAAAGACAAAGGCTGGTATTCAACTTCAATGTCATGACTTGTAACCAGGTAAATTGGTATCAATGTACAGAAATACTCCTTGTAGATCACCGTACCTGATCATGAGAAGAGTGGAGGTGAAGTTATTCTTCAAACTTCAACCCACACCAGGTAAGGTTAATACTACCAGGAATTGAAATTAAAGCAACTCAGACGCTAGGAACTGAAGTTTAGCCTCTGCCCACTAGATGGAAGAGTGGGCGGTAACACGCTAGTGGTTCCTGGGTGTCTGAACAACCATACCTCCCACTTTTTTAATTTTTTTTTTCCTCAAAATATCCCCTATCCTAAACTTATAGTCGGAAGCAGTATGTTAAGTTACAGAGGGAAAAGTACTATGTACACCCTCGGTTCAGCCAATCTGAGAAGTGGTTTTCCGAGTCATATATATATATATATATATATATATATATATATATATATATTATATATATATATATATATATATATATGAACAACTTTAAACTTACAAGACTGGATAGCCCATCTTAAGATTCGGCTACTTGAACCTTTGAAGTTTTCCAGGTACATCAGTGGCTTGCGATCTGTTTCAAGCACAAAGGGTTTTCCATATAAGTAGTAGTTGAACCCACTTACACCCCATACCAATGCATAACATTCCTTCTCCACAGTGGAGTAGTTTTCTTCCCTCGCAGAAGCTTCTTACTGGTGGAAGATATAGGGAAGTGAATCTCATCATAATACTGTAGTGGAACAGCCCCGAGTCCTGAATGGAAGGCATCCGTTTGGAGACAAAAGACTTTATTAATAACTGGTAATTTTAGAACAGGAGGATTGGAAAGTATTCTTTACTTTGTTCGAAGCTTTCTACAGCCTCTTCAGAACAAACAAGAGGTTCCTTTACATACTTTTTAAATAGTCTGTGAGAATGGAAGTCAGACCTTTTAAATTATGTACAAAATTCTCTTTTGAAATTTACTGACCCAAGGAAACTTCTTAGCAATTTTGTTTTGTAGTTAGGAAGGAGCTTTCTAGAACTGCTTTCGTCTTGTTAGGAAGAGGTGATAAATTACTGTCAGAAATAATAAACCCGAGGTATTGTACTTTGAAATAGCCAAGAAAACACTTCTGTGGTTTGATTGTTAGACAATGAGCTCTTAGTCTTTTTAAAGCCAGCGACAGTATAGTAAGATGATCCTCCCAGACATAAATCATTTATGTAAATATTATCGAAATACACTGAAACATTCTTGAGGTCAGAAAGGATATTCTCATAAGCCGGATATACGTGGCACACGCGGTGACCAAGCCGTAAGGCACTGTGCGATATTGCATTAGTCCTTTATGAGTAGGGAAAGCCGTCTAGAGTCTGGGTGTAATGACACTTGATGGTACGCTTGTGAGATGTCTAATTCAGAGAAAAATTTACAGTCATGGAATTCATACAAGTCATGATCGATTACTGACATGGGTTCAACGTCCCATTTAGTGATAACATTTAAACGAAATCTTGAGCCAGTCGGTAAGAATTGTCTGGTTCTTAACCATGACAACTGCTGAACAGAAAGCTGATTTAGAAGGTTCAATGATATTTAGCTTAAAGAGTTTGTCAACTTCGTTATCAAATGTTTTCCGTAAGTGAACCGCAACAGGATAAATTTTCCGTCTTACTGGTTCATGAGCTGACAATTGAATCTTGTGTACAACGGTAGTGGTAAGTCCTGGGATCTCTGTGAATATGTCAGAAAAGGTATTTACTATGGCATTTACTTGAGGCTTTTGTTTAGTAGATAGTTCACTCTTGATTTTGATGTTTGAGTTATTAGTTGGAGAATCAACAGTTAAGATATCAAGTAGTTCCTTCGATTCTGTGCGAGACTAGTGATCTATAATACAAACTTTACATTCACGAGAATCATGACTGTTAGACAAAATATCTTCATCGAAGGAGTTTCAACGAAGAATAACTTCTCTACGGTGGAAGAGTTCCAAAATATTGACATGTTACATTCGTTCTTTACCCTTGACATCCAAGAGATAATCTACCTTATTACAGAACTTTACTATTTTATTCGGTCCTCTCCAGGAAATTAACAATTTGTTGGATTTATCTGGTAAAAGAACTAAAACTTCATCGCCAATATTAAATTTACGCTTGACTCTTTTGGTCAATATAGGTCTTGTATGTTTCCATGGAAATATTCAAGTTCTTGACAACTAAATCAGCGGTTTCTTCTAATCTTTCTCTCAGATCTAAAAAGAACTGATAAGTGCTTTGAACTTCAGGTTTAATATCTTTGGACCACAGTTCATTCAAGATAAATAGAGGTTCACGAGCTTGTCTCCCATAAAGCAATTCGAAAGGGTAATATCCAAGTGAATCACTTGGAATCTGACGCATTACAAAGAGCACATGGTAGATAACTTTACCAGTCAGTTGGCTTAAGGAAACAAAGTTTCTTTAATATTGACTTTAGGATAGCATATTGTCATTCCACTCTTCCGTTACAATTTGGATGTAACGGAGGTTTAACACCCACAAGTTGATAAACTTGATCCATTAATTCAGAAGTAAATTGTGTTCCTTGATCAGAAAGAATTTCCCTGGGTATACCTACCCTTGAAAAATAGTCACTTTCCCGCAACTTCTACTGACGTACCGCTTCTGGGAAGCTAGACGCAATGCCAGTCATAGTCAAGATGTATTTATGACCTGATGAACCAGAAGTGATACGACCAACTCTATCCACTGCAACCCTAGCAAATGGGACTGAGTAAATCGGCATTATTACCATAGAAACTCTCATAGTTCTTCCAATTTGTGAGGAAAGCTAACATAATTTAATTTAATTTAAAATTTTATCCCGTGAAGAATCTAATTTTGGGGAAAAGCTTACTAGAGATAACAATACAGGAACATCCAGAAATCTCTAAGAATTGGCGAAACATTCATTCCATTAAGAGTACCTTCACTAAAAGCTGCGTTAATATTAGCTTCAGTGAAACACTTCCCGATATTCTCACGCTTCCTCTTGGCACATTCTTGACGTTTATGTCCAAATTCATTACAGATGAAAGATATCATCGTGAAGTTCGTGGAATTCTTAGGCACAAAAGGGTTTTGGGCCCCTCAGTTTGCTGAGGCACAACAGATTTATATCTGCTACGGGCCTTGGGGTAAGTTATATGCTCACAAAACTCACATTAATGTCCTGGGGACTGTTGCCCTCTCCAAAAGATGGGCCTTGACTTTTTGGTTCTTTATAAATATTTGGGGATATGATGTAACAACCAAAGGACCCTTGTTTCCCCTTTCCACCCAAAGGTTTGGGTGGTGTTAACACCTACCCCATGGTGTGGGGGTAGTAACACCATAACCCATGGTGTGGGTGGTGTAACACCATACCATGGTGTGGTTGTGGTGTATAAACATACCCATGGTGGGTGGTAGTAACCCATACCCAAGGTGTGGGGGGTAGTAACACCATACCCTGGTGTGGGTGGGAGTAACACCATAAGCCTGGGTGGGGTGGTAGTAACACCATACCCATGGTGTGGGTGGTAGTATCAACCATACCCATGGGTGTGGGTGGTAGTTACACATACCCAAGGTGTGGGTGGTGGAAACACCAATACCCATGGTGTTGGTGGAAGAAACACCAACCCAAGTGTGGGTGTAGTAACACATACCCATGGGGAGGGTGGTAGTTAACACCATACTCCCATGGTGTGGTGTTAGTACCCCCAAACCCATGGTGGTGGGAGGTAGAAACACCATACCCATGGTGTGGGTGGTTAGTAACACCATAATACCCATGTTGTGGGTGTGTAGTAACAACCATACCCATGGAGTTGGTGGTAGTAACACCATACCCAGGTTGGGGTGGTAGCAACACCATACCCATTGGTGTGGGTGGTAGTAACACCATACCCATGGGAGGGTTGTAGTAACACCATACCCAGGTGTGGGTGTAGTAACACCAATACCCATGGTGTGGGAGGTAGTAACACCATAGCCCATGGTGTGTGTGGAATTAACAACATATCCAAGTTGGTGGTAGTAACACCATACCCATGGGGAGGGTGGGAGTAACACCATACCCATGGTGTGGTGGTAGTAACACCAACCCATGGTGTTGGGTGTAGTAACACCATACCCATGGTTTGGGTGGAAGTAACACCAAACCCAAGGTGTGGGTGGTCGTACACCAAAACCTATGGTGTGGGTGGTAGAACACCATACCCATGGTGTGGGTGGTAGAAACACCATTTCCCATGGTGTGGGTGTAGTAAACACCATACCCATGGTGTGGGTGGTAGTAACACCATAATACCATGGTGTGGGTGAAGAAACACCATAACCCAAGGTGTGGTGGTAGTAACATCCATACCCATGGTGTGGGTGGTAAAGTAAACAAACACCATACCCATGGTGCTGGGTGGTATAACCACCATACACATGTGTGGGTGGTAGTTAACACCATACACATGGTGGTGGGTGGTACTAACACATACACATGGTGTGGGTGGTAGTAACACCATACCCATGGTGTGGGTGGTAGTAACACCATACCCATGGTGTGGGTGGTAGTAACACCATACCCATGGTGTTGGTGGTAGTAACACCATACCCATGGTGTGGGTGGTAGTAACACCATACCCAAGGTGTGGGTGGTAGTAACACCATAAACCCAAGGTGTGGATGGAAGTAACCACCATACCCAAGGTGTGGTGGTAGTAAACACCATACCCAAGGTGTGGGTGGTAGTAACACCATACCCAAGTTTGTGGGTGGTAGTAAAACACCATACCCAAGGTGTGGGTGTAGTAACACCATACCCAAGGTGAGGGTGTAGTAACAACCAGATACCCAAAGGTGTGGGTGGTATAACACCATACCCAAGGTGTGGGTGGTAGTAACAGCACTACCCAAGGTGTTGGTAGTTTAACACCATTACCCAAGGTGTGGGTGGTAGTAAAGCATAACCAAGGTGTGGGTGGTTAGTAACACCATACCCAATGGTGGTGGGGTGGAAGTAACACAATACCCATGGTGTGGGTGGGTAGTAACACCATACCCATGTGTGGGGTGATAGTAACACCATACCCATGGTGTGGGTGATGTAACACCAAACCCATGGTGTGGGTGTGTTAGTAACACCATACCCATGGTTGTGGGTGGGTAGTACACCATACCATGGTGTGGGTTTTTAAGTAACATCGGCTCCACCATAAGACAAATAAAATACTGACAGATTAACGAGAGGACAGAGACAGAATGTTCCAGAGATGGGACACATCAACAAGGGGACACAGT